CTAAACCAGGTCTGAACCAGGTCTGAACCAGGACTAAACCAGGACTAAACCAGGACTGAACCAGGACTAAACCAGGACTAAACCAGGACTGAACCAGGACTAAACCAGGTCTGAACCAGGACTAGACCAGGTCTAAACCAGGACTAAACCAGGACTAAACCAGGTCTGAACCAGGTCTACACCAGGACTAAACCAGGTCTACACCAGGACTAAACCAGGTCTGAACCAGGTCTGAACCAGGTCTGAACCAGGTCTAAACCAGGTCTAAACCAGGTCTGAACCAGGACTAAACCAGGACTGAACCAGGACTGAACCAGGACTAAACCAGGACTAAACCAGGACTAAACCAGGACTAAACCAGGTCTAAACCAGGTCTAAACCAGGACTGAACCAGGACTGAACCAGGACTGAACCAGGTCTAAACCAGGACTAAACCAGGTCTAAACCAGGACTAAACCAGGACTGAACCAGGTCTAAACCAGGTCTAAACCAGGTCTAAACCAGGTCTAAACCAGGACTAAACCAGGACTGAACCAGGACTGAACCAGGACTGAACCAGGACTGAACCAGGACTGAACCAGGACTGAACGAAGTCTAAACCAGGTCTGAACCAGGTCTGAACCAGGTCTGAACCAGGTCTAAACCAGGTCTGAACCAGGTCTAAACCAGGTCTAAACCAGGTCTAAACCAGGTCTAAACCAGGACTGAACCAGGTCTAAACCAGGACTGAACCAGGACTGAACCAGGACTGAAACCAGGTCTGAACCAGGTCTGAACCAGGTCTGAACCAGGTCTAAACCAGGACTAGAGCAGGAGTCTGGTCTCTGAGTTTCTAACACGTCACAGATGAATTTTGATGCTCGACACAGAGACACAAACAGAGACACTTTAAAGTCTCTGAGCCACAGGGAACAGAGACCTGATGTGCTCGAGTCAGGACCTGAGCTGCAGGTTCTGGATGTTCTGGATGTTCTGGATGTTCTGGATGTTCTGGATGTTCTGGATGTCCGTTACAGGAGTCTCACCCACTGTTCCCCAAAGTCCGGGTCACAAACCTCGTGGGTCACAGGACATTAGTTTTGATGTGGCCTTGTGACGAGCTGCAGTGCACAGATCTGACACATGAGGGCGGCAGAGTCACTGAGTCTGAGGCCTCTGTCCTCTGTCCTCTGTCCTCTGTCCTCTGTCCTCTGTCCTCTGTCCTCTGTCCTGAGCGAGTGTCCTGCAGACGAAGGGACAAACGCAGCTTGTTTGTCCAAACAGAAGCAGATAAATGAACAAAGACTTTAGAGAAACGAGGAAAGATCCTCAGTGAAGCTGCTGCGAGACTCGATTCCTCTGAAAATACAGATGAAAATGAAACAAACTGTGTGGAGCAAAGATCAGAGCTTAGTCCTGGTTTAGTCCTGGTTTAGTCCTGGTTTAGACCTGGTTTAGACCTGGTTTAGACCTGGTTTAGACCTGGTTTAGTCCTGGTTTAGTCCTGGTTTAGTCCTGGTTTAGTCCTGGTTTAGACCTGGTTTAGTCCTGGTTTAGACCTGGTTTAGTAGACCTGGTTTAGACCTGGTTTAGACCTGGTTTAGTCCTGGTTTAGTCCTGGTTTAGACCTGGTTTAGTCCTGGTTTAGTCCTGGTTTAGTCCTGGTTTAGTCCTGGTTTAGTCCTGGTTTAGTCCTGGTTTAGACCTGGTTTAGACCTGGTTTAGACCTGGTTTAGTCCTGGTTTAGACCTGGTTTAGTCCTGGTTTAGTCCTGGTTTAGTCCTGGTTTAGTCCTGGTTTAGACCTGGTTTAGTCCTGGTTTAGTCCTGGTTTAGTCCTGGTTCAGTTGTGGTTTTAGTCCTGGTTTAGTCCTGGTTTAGTCCTGGTTTAGTCCTGGTTTTAGACCTGGTTTAGACCTGGTTTAGACCTGGTTTAGTCCTGGTTTAGTCCTGGTTTAGACCTGGTTTAGTCCTGGTTTAGTCCTGGTTTAGTCCTGGTTTAGTCCTGGTTTAGTCCTGGTTCAGACCTGGTTTAGTCCTGGTTTAGTCCTGGTTCAGATGAAGTCACAAATGCAGCTTGTTTGTCCAAAAAGAAGGTGATAAATGAACAAAGGTCAGAGATTTCAGCAGAAGAAGAAAACATCACCAAGACCCTCAAAGACCGTCTGGACTTGGACTTGGGTCATGAAGATCCTCAGAGAAACAGTTTGTGAGACTCTGGTCAAAGCTCCTGGAGGCAAACGCAGGGACGAGTCTCCACGGCTGATTTCAAACGTTCTCTTTGATTTTTGTAGATGTTTGTAGAAGGTCAGAGTCTGCAGAGCTCGAAAACCTCCTGTAACTGAGTAAATGTGAAGTGGAGCTGTTTAAAGTCCCACTGTGGAACATTCCAGACAGATGAGTGACGTCTCCATGGAGAAAAGTGTCGACTTCCTGTTTCTCCTAAACATCTGGAGTGAGTTTTGTTTGTTTTCTCGTGTTTTTCAGCACAGACTTGGAGAAGAACAACCCTCTGCACAAACTGACGGAGGAGGAGCTGCTCACCTTCACCTCGGTCCGTTTCTCTGCGGCTTTTTTAACTTTTACTCTTTTTATTTTGAAATTATCACCTCAGATTAAAGTCTGTTTTCTCTCTCGGCTTTAGAACTTGTAGGACAGTAGAAGGAAAGTGTCTGTTTCTCTCTTTTTATGCTCCTCGTGTCCCTCAAATAAAAACTCCACTGAACCAGAAGGATTTCGATGTGGAGATGCACAGATCCACAGTTTTTAGTTCCAATACAGATTTCGATGGTGTTTAGAGACTGAAAAGACTTTCAATGAATTTCAATTAAGAATAAGAAACAATAACATGGGAAAACTGTTTATTACATAATTACAAAAAAACAAAAAAAAGATTTCAACCTCTTATTTCCAATATTTAATTTAAAGTTAATTTCAAATCACATCTGTCACATTATTCACTTAAAAACTCTGAAAAACACTGAATTTATGAATTTGGAAATAATGCCTTAAAAAAACTTGAAAAAGTCTTGAAGTTTTATATGTGGGTCTTAAATTTGTTTAGTACATAATTTCTCCATTTCACATTTCTCCTTCAAAGTTTATTTAGGAGACGATTTTTAACCTAATGATGTTTGTCACTGAACAAAGGAAAGTTTCTCACTGTTTCTGTTTCTCGACCCAAACACAAGAAACACAAGAAAAGAAACACTTATAAAAGAAACATGTCAAACCTTCAGCAGCAAAACTTCAAATAAACCAGAGAATAAAAATATCAAAATGAAAATAGTCACAAAGAGTTTTTGGATTGATGGTTTTGAAATAAACTTAAAATTAAAGATTGGAAATAGAGTTTGTTTTTTTTTTGACATTAAAATGGAATAAGGAAATAACAAACAGTTTTCCCATTTTATTATAAAAATAAAAACAAATATAAAAACACTCCATGTTTAATCCCACACAGGAGTCAGGTCCCAGTTAGACTCAGGTCGTGTTTAGACTCAGGTCGTGTTTAAACTCAGGTCCTGTTTAAACTCAGGTTGTGTTTAAACTCAGGTCCTGTTTAAACTCAGGTCGTGGTTAAACTCAGGTCCTGTTTAAACTCAGGTCGTGGTTAAACTCAGGTCGTGGTTAAACTCAGGTCCTGTTTAAACTCAGGTCGTGGTTAAACTCAGGTCGTGGTTAAACTCAGGTCGTGGTTAAACTCAGGTCGTGGTTAAACTGGGGTCTGGTCTTGTTGTTCCAGGCTCTTCTGTGTCGACCTCAGGTCTTTTCTCTGGAGGTTTCTGCTCTGAGTCTGAGGACCAGACTGGAGCGAGGACAGAGGAGGTGTGTGGAGAGAGCCATGACCCAGACTCAGGTACCGCGCCGCCTCACCACCTGACCCCGCCCACTCCCTCTGACCCCGCCCACTCCTCATTCTGATCCTGCCCACTTCTCCTGACCCCGCCAACTCCTCCCACTGACCTGACCCCTCCCACTCCTCCATCTGACCCCGTCCACTGACCTGATCCCACCCACTTCTCCATCTGACCCCGCCCACTCCTCCTGACCCCGCCCACTCCTCCCTCTGACCCCGCCCACTCCCTCTGACCCCGCCCACTCCATCTGACCCCGCCCACTCCCTCTGACCCCGCCCATTCCTCCCACTGGACACATACTTTATCTCAGAAAGATAAAAATACAAGTCTTTTTTACTTTTTATTTTTATTTTTTCAAATAATAACTTTATCCGGACATGTTTTTTATGTTCATATTTATAGTTTTCTTTCTCAGATTGTTTTATTTTACCTATAATTTTTTTACCCTCTTTTTTTATTCTTTTGATCAGGCAGAATTCTTTTGTCTTTCATTTATCACATTTAAAATTATATTGGTTTAAATTTCATTATTTAAAATGACCATTTGTGTATTTATCATTTAGCAGTTTTATTTTATTCATTTGAATTTCATCATGTTTAATTACGTTATATTACAGGTTTTAATTTAAATACATTTCAAGGGGGTGTACAGGCAGAATAAAAATAAAATAAAATAAATTAAAAAAAATACATAATATATATAATAATAATAATAAAAAAAAATTTGAAAATAGAGCAACATAAAACGCAGTTCCAGCTGATCCGTCCTAGAAAACAAAACAGAACAGTAAATTAAAAACTAAAAAGAAATAAAAGAAATAAAGATAAAAATTAAAAAAGAATGAAAATAAAATCTAATTAAATAAAAATATGTTAAAAAAAAAAAATTATAATAATAAAAAGCACAAAAACAGAAGCAATATTATAATAAAAACAACAACATCATGTGATTCTGCCAACTTTAATCATCATTAATCAATAATAATTTTATTTTTGAGAGTTGTAATCCATTACCGCGTCTCTCAGCTCTGTAACAGTAAAGTCCTGACGTCTCCATGGAAACGAGCAGGTGCTGAGCAGGAAAGTCCCACAGTGCAGCTTTAACCTTCTCCCTGTCGCTCTTCAGGCTTTGGTGGATTATTTCGAGGAGACGACGTGTCCAGCGTCCGAGCGCCTCAAGATGTTCTACGTCTGTCGCCCGCCGACCCGCTGGAGCGTCCAGGTGAGTCAGATGCCCTCCCGCTGACCGAACCTACAGGTGAGTCAGATGCCCTCCCGCTGACAGAACCTACAGGTGAGTCAGATGCCCTCCCACTGACTGAACCTACAGGTGAGTCAGATGCCCTCCCGCTGACAGAACCTACAGGTGAGTCAGATGCCCTCCCGCTGACAGAACCTACAGGTGAGTCAGATGCCCTCCCGCTGACAGAACCTACAGGTGAGTCAGATGCCCTCCCGCTGACTGAACCTACAGGTGAGTCAGATGCCCTCCCGCTGACTGAACCTACAGGTGAGTCAGATGCCCTCCCACTGACTGAACGTTCAGGACGTTCAGTGTTGACGTTTTCACGACGTTTGAATGAGGTTGATTCTGTCCAAATGAGGTCGTTGTTCATGTCTTTTCTACTTTTAAAAAAATGTATGACAAATATGAACATTATTGTTTCAGTATTATTCATTAATCTACATTTTGATTATTTGTGATTAAATATTTATTACTAATTATTTATTTGAGCTCATGATATTTAGTTTGTTTAATTCACTTGTTTAGGTTTTTGTGTTTGTTTTTTTTTTGTTTTTTTTTTTGGAAGTGTAATTTGTGTAAAATTCCAGCCGACTCAACAAAAATGATTAAAATTCTCTGGTTCTATTTTGAGTTGAGCCATAAACCCGTGTGAAGGCGACAGAGACTCGGTCGGTCGAGTTTCAGTGACTCTTTATTTATAAAACACCTTTGACAGATAAAAATCACAAAGAGCTTTAAGGAGCAAAAAAACAACATGAACAAAGAGCAGAAGAGCAGAGGAATCACAGACACAGTCGACTAAAAGCCTCGAGTCTAAAGAGCCGAGTCCTGAGCTGCTTTTAAAAGAGTCACAAGAATCAATCAACACAGAACTGAACAGGAGCCAGAGCAGAGCAGAGGAACTGGAACAATGTGAGGACGTCTGTTCACTTCTGTTAAAAACCTGCAGCTGTTTAAATGAAGAAACATTAAAACAAGTAAAAAGAGAATTACAAAAATCTAAACAAGATGGAATTAAAGTGTTTGTCGCTGATCTGAAGGTTGGTGGTTCGAATCTCGCTCCACATAAACATTATTTGAGCATCAGATCCATTAGTCTGATTCGTGAGTTGGTTTCACTTGGTGGAAACCGTGTGACCTGCAGCTTTAGGATTCGTTCACTCGACAGGAGGCGGGACTTTTTTTATTGAACCAATCGCTGCTGTTTCTTCGTGACGTTTGTAAAGCTCCAAATCCTGTAGGAAGAAGAACAATAACGTCTTTCCCCGAGATCAAATTCACCAAACATTCTCTTTGTTCAGACTTTAAATCCTCGGGGATCTGGGAGTTAGTGACGGACATTCGATTAAATTTTCTTAATCGATCGTCGGAAGAATTAACGATCAATTATCGATTAATCATGAACGTTTTTCTATTAAAATGATCATCATTATTATTACTATCTGCACTAATCTGCATCAATAAATTCAACTTTACGACATATAAACATAACGACTCTAGATCCACATCAGCTGTTTGACATTATAATGTGTTTAATTCAGTTTTGTTCAAATCTCACAGAAACAAAACTTAAAACCACATCACTAATTTACATAAACTAAGTGAAGATAAAACTCCAGCTCTTGTGTCGCTGATGTGGTTCAACTTGTGTTGGATTAAAAGACATGACTCAGGTGAATACAGGTCAGTGTGACCAGATTTGTGTTTGTCAAAACCAGGACAGCGTACGGGGGGAGGGGGGCGGGGCCTCGTCATCCACATTGAGCGACTCTCACCTGGAAAAACTTTTTCCCACTGGACACAGAAACATATGTGCTGCTTTATCCACTGTGCACATGGACTCACACTTGTCCCAACGCAACGGAAAGTGTGGAATTTCTTCTACAAATCCTGGTTAAATCCACATTTGTGCTTCGGTTCGTTACAGACTGACCCACTGTTTGTGTCTCGCTCCTTCTGATGCAGAGACACATGTACACACCTGTTTGGTCACGACACACACACATACATTCAGTTTGTCCATTAAAATGAACGGAATCAATCAAATTCTTAATGATCAATTATCGATTAATCATGACCATCCCTATGGGGAATGTCTGTCTTCGTCTACATCTCAACGCTTCGTTTACTGTTGTGCTGAAACACAAAAGAGACACAGACGCCGACACGACCACGACCTCATGACCTCACAGCTCACAGCTGATTGGTCGCTGCAGCGTCTACAACTTCTGAGGTTTTCCAAATCGTCTGGTGTTTTCTGATTCTGACCTGGAGCTGGAGACAAATGAAACTGAGGGAGGCACTAGGGGGCGCCAGACTGGATACTGGACCACAGGTTGTTGGTGCGATTCCAGCTCCCACAGATGAATGCTGTCGTTGTGTCCTTGGGCAAGACACTTAAAGGTTGTATGGAGGATTTTTTTTTTGTTTCAAATTGTCAATGAAAGTTTAAAATACCATAACAGAGACGCAGCAGCTTTGGAATTATGATGAAAAAAAGAATGAAAATCTACTAACTGTGGACGTGTTGAGGCTAGAGAAACATCAGCCAATAGAAAACGAGGCTGCCCTCATTTTCTATTGGCTGTTGGGTTGTCAATCAAACTCCCTACGTTTCTAGTGTAACTGACTTGTCGGCGCGGGGATTACGTGGTTTATGCAGCGGTTCTTAGAGGTTTTTTTAAACTGCAGCTTCCTCGCATTTCACACAAAGTTTGTTGCCACGGCGAAAGAGAATCCACGACCAGTTCGCCGCAAAAGAAAGTTCGTTTTTGAGGTCGATGAAAGACGAAGAGAAGGAGAAAAGGAGCAAAGACGAACTGAGGTGATTCTTGGAGATTCCTTCCAGCGACGGCGCGAATGAAGCAGACGAAGGGACTAAAAACTGACACGTCGGTCGATAAATAATTTCTAGACAGGAAACTTCAGCAGTAAATCTGAACGAGCACTGGATGTAAACAAGTGTGATTCTAGAGTAAAGAGGCGGGAGGAGGAGGTGTTTCTACTGAGGCTGTGGAGGAGGAAGGTGGAGTCACACAGGCACAACATCTGAAAAAGAACCGTCGCTGTATTTCTCTTCCCTTAAACAATCCTCTACACGACCTTTAACCCCCCTCAACCCCCAGTGTCTGTGTGTGTGTCTGTGTCTGTGTGTGTGTGTGTGTGTGTCTGTCTGTGTGTGTGTGTGTGTGTGTCTGTGTGTGTGTGTGTGTGTTTGAGTGTGTGTGTGTGTCTGTGTGTGTGTGTCTGTGTGTGTGTGTGTGTGTGTGTCTGTGTGTCTGTGTGTGTGTCTGTGTGTGTGTGTGTGTGTCTGTGTGTGTGTGTGTGTGTCTGTGTGTGTGTGTGTGTGTGTGTGTCTGTGTGTGTGTGTGTGTGTGTGTGTGTGTCTGTGTGTGTGTGTGTGTCTGTGTGTGTGTGTGTGTGTGTGTGTGTGTGTGTGTGTGTGTGTGTGTCTGTGTGTGTGTGTGTCTGTGTGTGTGTGTCTGTGTGTGTCTGTGTGTGTGTGTGTGTGTGTGTGTGTCTGTGTGTGTGTGTGTGTGTCTGTGTGTGTGTGTGTCTGTGTGTGTGTGTGTGTCTGTGTGTGTGTGTGTGTGTGTGTGTGTGTCTGTGTGTGTGTGTGTGTGTGTCTGTGTGTGTGTGTGTGTGTGTGTGTGTGTGTGTGTGTGTGTGTGTGTGTGTGTGTCTGTGTGTGTGTGTGTGTGTGTGTGTCTGTGTGTGTGTGTGTGTGTGTGTGTGTGTGTGTGTGTGTGTGTGTGTGTGTGTGTCTGTGTGTGTGTGTGTCTGTGTGTGTGTGTGTGTGTGTGTGTCTGTGTGTGTGTGTGTGTCTGTGTGTGTGTGTGTGTGTGTGTCTGTGTGTGTGTGTGTGTGTGTCTGTGTGTGTGTGTGTGTGTGTGTGTGTGTGTCTGTGTGTGTGTGTGTGTGTCTGTGTGTGTGTGTGTCTGTGTGTGTGTGTCTGTGTGTGTCTGTGTGTGTGTGTGTGTCTGTGTGTGTGTGTGTCTGTGTGTGTGTGTGTGTGTGTGTGTGTGTGTGTGTGTGTGTCTGTGTGTGTGTGTGTCTGTGTGTGTGTGTGTGTGTGTGTGTGTGTCTGTGTGTGTGTGTGTGTCTGTGTGTGTGTGTGTCTGTGTGTGTGTGTGTGTGTGTGTGTGTGTGTGTGTGAGTGTGTTGTTTCTTTGGGCAGTGGGTTTGTTCTTGTGTCTCCTGTTCAAACTTAAACCCTGGAGAACATCTGCTGTTTGTTCTTCTTGTAGATGAAGTTCTTCTGTTCTGTTCTGTAGAAAACTCTGTGTTCTCTCCTGATGGACCTGGGCTGCACCAGCGCTGCTCTGCTCACCTTCCAGAAGCTGCAGATGTGGGAGGACGTGGTCATCTGCCACGAGAGGCTCGGACAGCACGGAAAGGTCTGAACATGTTCTACTCTGAGATTCACCCCTTGGTTCTCCTGGTTCTCCTGGTTCTCCTGAGTTTCACGCTTTGGTTCTCATGGTTCTCCTGAGTTTGACGCTCTAGTTCTCCTGGTTCTCCTGAGTTTCACGCTCTAGTTCTCCTGGTTCTTGTGGTTCTCGTGGTTCTCCTGAGTTTCACGCTCTGGTTCTCCTGGTTCTCGTGGTTCTCCTGAGTTTCACACTTTGGTTCTTGTGGTTCTCCTGAGTTTCACCTATTGGTTCTCGTGGTTCTCCTGAGTTTCACACTTTGGTTCTCGTGGTTCTCCTGAGTTTGACGCTCTGGTTCTTCTGGTTCTCCTGAGTTTCACGCTCTAGTTCTCCTGGTTCTCCTGGTTCTCTTGGTTCTGAGTTTCACGCTCTGGTTCTTGTGGTTCTCGTGGTTCTCCTGAGTTTGACGCTCTGGTTCTCCTGAGTTTGACACTCTGGTTCTTGTGGTTCTCCTGAGTTTCACTCTCTGGTTCTCGTGGTTCTCCTGAGTTTGACGCTCTGGTTCTCCTGGTTCTCCTGAGTTTGACGCTCTGGTTCTCGTGGTTCTCCTGAGTTTGACGCTCTGGTTCTCGTGGTTCTCCTGAGTTTGACGCTCTGGTTCTCGTGGTTCTCGTGGTTCTCCTGAGTTTCACACTCTGGTTCTTGTGGTTCTCCTGAGTTTGACGCTCTGGTTCTCGTGGTTCTCCTGAGTTTGACGCTCTGGTTCTCCTGGTTCTCGTGCGTGTTCCAGGCGGAGGAGATCGTGCGGCGGGAGCTGGAGAAGCAGGAGACCCCGAGCCTGTGGTGTCTTCTGGGGGACGTCCTGAGGGACCATCAGTTCTACGACCGAGCCTGGGAACTGTCCAAGCACCGCAGCTCCAGGGCCATGAGGTCCAAGGGCCTCCTGCACCTGTCCAACCGGGAGACGGAGCAGTGCGTCCGCTGCTTCGAGGAGTCGCTCAAGATCAACAGGATGCAGGTACCGGACCAGGACTGAGACCAGGACTGGGACCAGGACTGAGACCAGGACTGAGACCAGGACTGAGACAGGACTGAGACCAGGACTGGGACCAGGACTGGGACTAGACCACGACCAGACCAGGACCACGACCAGAACGGGACTGGACCAGAACGGGACTTGGACGAACGGGACTTGGACGGGGACTTGGACTTGGACTGGGACTTGGACTGGGGATTTGGACTTGGGACAGGGACTTGGACGGGGACTTGGACTGGGGACTTGGACCTGGGACGGGGACGTGGACTTGGACTTGGACTGGGGACTTGGACGGGACTTGGACTGGGGACTTGGGGGACGGGACAGACTTGGGGATTTGGACTTGGGACAGGGACTTAGATGGGACTTGGACTTGGACTTGGACTGGGGACTTTGGACGGGGACTGGACTGGGGATTTGGACTTGGACAGGGACTTAGATGGGGACTTGGACTTGGACTTGGACTTGGGACGGGGACTTGGACTGGGGACTGGGACAGGGGACTGGGACAGGGATGGGGACTTGGACTTGGACTGAACAGGGACTGGACTGTGACTTAGACTGGACCTGGACCAGGTTGGGGACGGGACCTGGATTGAGACTGGACCTGGAACTGGACCTAGAACTGGACTGGGGACTGGTACAAGAACTAGGTCTAGTCCCAGTTCCGGTCCAGAACCATCAGTCAGATCTTGTTTAAATGTCTTAAATGTATCTTGAATAACTGTCCCTGCCTGCCTGTCTGTGTCTCTGCTGTCTCTGCTCCTGTCTCTGCTCTGTCTCTCTGCTGCTCTGCTCTGTCTCTGCTCCCTGTCCTCTGCTCCTGTCTCTGCTCCTGTCTCTCTGCTCCTGTCTCTGCCTGTCTCCTGTCTCTGCTCCTGTCTCTCTGCTCCTGTCTCTGCTCCTGTCTCTGCTCCTGTCTCTGCTCCTGTCTCTGCTCCTGTCTCTGCTCCTGTCTCTGCTCCTGTCTCTGCTCTGTCTCTGCTCCTGTCTCTGTCTGTCTCTGCTGTCTCTGCTCCTGTCTCTCTGTCTCTGCTCCTGTCTCTGCTCCTGTCTCTGCTCTCTGCTCCTGTCTCTGCTCCTGTCTCTGCTCTCTGCTCTCTGCTGCTCCCCTGTCTCTGCTGTCCTGTCTCTGCTCCTGTCTCTCTGCTCTGTCCTGTCTGCCCCTGTCTCTGCTGTCTCTGCTGTCTCTGCTCCTGCTCCTGTCTCTGCCCTGTCGTCTCTGCTCTGTCTCTGCTCCTGCTCTGTCTCTGCCCTGTCTGTCTCTGCCCCTGTCGTCTCTGCTCCTGTCTCTGCTCCTGTCTCTGCCCCTGTCTCTGCTCCTGTCGTTGCTCCTGTCTCTGCTCCTGTCGTTGCTCCTGTCAGCTGGGCCTGTGGTTCTCTCTGGGTTGTGGATATCTTTCTCTGGAGAAATACGAGGAGGCGGCGTTGGCGTTTCAGTCGTGCGTTTGCATCGAGCCCGACGTGAGTAAATCACACATGACCTCTGACCTCTGACCTTTGACCTCTGAGTGTTTAGAGTAAGAAATGAATCAGAACTGATCCTGACTCACATTTCCAGCAGAATCCTGTCGTCGCTCGTGTCTCTGGTGTCACGTCGTCCTGTGGCGGAAAAATCTTTACATTTCGGCCAAAAAAAACGTTTAAAAGAAACAACGATTATTTTACTCTTCACTTGTTTTAGATTCAGTGACACAGATTTATTTGATACAAGACGACGACAAACTGATTTTAAGAACCGTATTTTTCAGAGTTTAAGGCCAGAACATGTGTCACAAAGAAGAAAAAAACAAATATAATACAGACGCACTTTCTGAGGGAAATGTTTTTAATAAACTGAGAGACGAGGAGCCGACGTTTGGTGTGTAAAGTCAAGGGCCGATACGATACACACCTCGATACACAGGCCACGATACGATACACACCTCGATACACAGGCCACGATACGATACACACCTCGATACACAGGCCACGATACGATACACACCTCGATACACAGGCCACGATACGATACACACCTCGATACACAGTAGAGATGTGCGGATTGCGGTTACAACCGCGGTATCTGCGGTTAATCCGCGGGTCGGGCGGATGACGTGAAGAAAAATTATATTTTAATTAAATTTGGGCGGGTGGCGGTTTAACTACTAAAAACAAAAGTTATTGTTAATATTGTTACGTACATGTGAAAAGACGAGTGTCATTGTCTGTGCTTGTATGAAGTGTTCGTCATGTCCTTAATTAGCCCATTTGACCTGTTTTTATGTTCTGAAGGTTCAGGTTGTGTCGGGTTATTGATGCCTAAGGTTTAGAGGCACATTTTATATGCAGTTTATTTTATTATTTCTAATTTATTTCAGCTGTTTGCCAACACGTAAGTGGCTATGGGGCCATATCGATATCAGTTATATTTTAAAACACGCAGACATTATAGCGTCGACTGCCACTCGGGGGATTTAAAACTTAAAGAAAGACCGATGGACTGAGGCTATGACTTTGAAACAACATCGGGCAATGGCAGAATGTTCAGAATGTAACAACATCCAACACGAAGGCAAGAAGGTTCAAAAACAGCCTCGTCGGAAAACGTTGTCAGTTAATTAGCTGCGCAAGAAAACCAGGTAAGTCTGGGTTGTTACGGACAATTAAGAATGTGAACAAACACGCTGAGCCAATGTTGGAATGAATGAGCTGTAGTTTGCATTTTTATCGAGGCTCCTTAGTTTGTTTGCTGTATGATTGTTCTAAAATCTAAAATCAATGGGCGGATGGCGGCGGGTGCGGTTTTGAAAAACCTTCGGTGCAAATGGACAGCGGCGGGTGATGAGTTTTGTGTCGCAGTTGCGGATGAAAAAATAGCCCATCCACACGTCTCTAATACACAGGCCACGATACGATACACACCTCGATACAGTGCACTTTCGATTCGATATATTTCAAATCGATTCGATACGGTTCAATAAAAAATAAAGGCAAAATCATGTCTGTGATACTAAAAGTGTTTGTTAAACTTCTTCTTGTGCAAAGTTCATATGAAACACAAACATTTCAAAATCAAAACTGTCAATGTCAAATGTGTCGCATAAATGAGTTTCCTTTCACTCCACAAGCAACAAAACTGTAAAAAAAATAATTTTGTAAAACCTAAAAATCCTCTTGGTGAAATATCGACACAGTAGCCCACGATATCGATACTGTATCATCACATTAAACGATACGATATATTGATATTCCGATATTTTTGCACACCCCTAGTGAAGTGAAGTTGTAGTAAAAACAACAGAAAAGAAGAACAGAGAAGAACAGAGAAGAACAGAGAAGAACAGAAAAGAACAGAAAAGAACAGAAAAGAACAGAGAAGAACAGAGAAGAACAGAGAAGAACAGAGAAGAACAGACTGTTATCGTCACATATTTGACTTCAGTTCTTCAGATAAACAACAGAACAAGTTGAACAAACTCTCTGTTTCCCTCCAAATCAATAAATCACTTCAGTTCTTCATCCTCGTGTCACTTCTGAACAACTCGACCTCCGGAGAGAAACACGACGCAAAGTAAAGTCAAATCCATCTTTTGCATTTAAAAGAAGAAAAACAACAAAATCAAATGTTGCTTAAATAAAGAAAAACATTTGTTCCTTTCCATAATTTGATTTGTCAAGTTGAATCGACTCAAATAAAGTCAAATGTTTTTATAGGGTCGGGCACGTTAACGCGTTAATTTTGCGTTAACTAATTAAGTCATTAATGCCGACAATTATTTTAACGCCATTAACGCAGTTTTTATTATTTATTTATTATTTATTTTATTGTGAACTTCTGTTTCTCACTGGCTTTTATTTTGAAAAAGTCCACTGTGAGCGTTTCTTTAAATTTGACGTCTTTTCTTTACAATTTTTTCACTTTTTTTCTGAGTTTGGAGTTTGACACACAAATCCATGAGCAAAATTCAGTTCATTGCCCAGATTTCCTTCTGTGTGGTGAGAAGAACGACGAGGACGAAGCACCAGGACGTCGGATCAAAACTCCCACCTCTGGTCAAACTGGTTAAAAGAATCTGAGGACCAGATTTTCCTGAGCAAGATTTTTGTGAGGAAAGAATAAATCTCCTGCCCCAAACGGCCGCCTGGTCCCAAATAAAAGCCTGGTCCCAAATAAAAGCCTGGTCCCAAATAAAAGCCTGGTCCCAAATAAAAGCCTGGTCTGTGAAGTGACTGAAACAAATAAACGTCCCGGGGATTATTCTACAGGATTTGTATTTCCAATGTTGATTCACTTTGTTAAACTCCGGGTCACGGTTCAGTCTGATCAGCAGGTTCAAGATCTTCTCTTCTTCCTCCACAGAACGCAGAGGCCTGGAACAACCTGAGCACCGCCTACATCCGCCTCAAGAAAGAGTGAGTCCTCCTCCTCCTTTTACTCCTCTGTCTTTCTCTTCTCTCAAATGTGACGTTCTCTTTACTCGCTTCGTTCTCCTCGGTTCCTCTCCTCGTTCCTCCATTAAGTGTCGTCTCTAATAAAAACCACAGATTGAAGGAGGAAACCTGAGGAGGCTTCAGCAGGAGACACCAGAGAAAAGAATCTTTATTTGTCTCAGTGAGGAGTTTAGATCCTCGCTCCTCTGCTCCTCCAGCCATAATCTGTGAACCTCTGACCTCCTGTGCTCCTCCTGTGTCCTCCTCTGATCTTCTGTGCTCCTCGTGCAGGTTCAAGGCCTTCCTGACCCTGCAGGAGGCGCTCAAGTGTAACTTTGAGTCGTGGCAGATCTGGGAGAACTTCCTGTTGGTGAGCACCAACATCGGGGCGTTTAACGACGCCGTGAGAGCCTACCACCGCCTCATGGACCTGAAGGACGGGTTCAAGGACACCGAGGTGAGAAGGACCAGGACGGGAACGGGACTGAACCAGGACTGGACTTGGACTAAACTGGGAACTAAACCTGGTCTAAACCTGGTCTGAACTCAGTCTAAACCAGGATTGAACACTAAACCCTAGCCCCAAACCTGGTCTAAAGCTGAACTAAAACCTGGATTAAACCTGGTCTAAACCTGGTCTAAACCTGGTCTGTTCTGGGTCTAAACCCGGTCTGTTCTGGGTCTAAACCCGGTCTGTTGGTGCCTCAGGTCCTGCAGTACCTGGTGCGTGCGGTGGTGGAGGACCTGCCGGACCGACAGGGGGCGCCGTCGTCGGCTCTGAAGCCCAAACTGAAGGAGCTGTTGGGGAGAGTGAGCGCGCGACACGCCAACGACCGCGACGTGTGGACGCAGTACGCTCGGCTGTACGGAGGGGGCGCCAGCGAGGACCAGGACGACAACGAGAAGGTGAAAGTGAAACCAAAGACTCATAAATCTGTTTGTTTACGGTTTGTGTTTCTCAGACGGACGACGTGTCCACAGTGATGATGTCAGGGTCATGTGTCAGGGGTCATGTGTCTGGGGTCATGTGTCAGGGTCATGGTCATGTGTCAGGGGTCATGTGTCAGGGGTCATGTGTCAGGGTCATGTGTCAGGGTCATGTGTCAGGGGTGTGTCAGGGGTCATGTGTCTGGGGTCATGTGTCTGGGGTCATGTGTCAGGGGTCATGTGTCTGGGTCATGTGTCTGGGGTCATGTGTCATGGTCATGTGTCATGTGTCATGGGTCATGTGTCATGGGGTCATGTGTCATGTGTCATGTGTCAGGGGTCATGTGTCATGGGGTCATGTGTCTGGGGTCATGTGTCAGGGGTCATGTGTCTGGGTTCATTAGTTCAGGGTTTAGTTCAGTTTATTTGTTTCTTTTTCAGGGACATTAGTTTGTTCCCTGTGACGACGTTGTTCCGTCTTTGTTCCGTCCCATCGGTCGTTGTTCCGTTGTTCTGGTCTCAGAGTCTCAGCGTCGCCGTGGGAACAAACAGCAGCTTAAAGCTCAGACCTGAGTTTAGTTTTGGTCAGACTCGGGTTTATTTGTGTCATGAAACGACTTGAGGCTGAAACTGGAGACGGATTCAGATCAGGATTTAAGGATAAAACTGGATTTGTTAAAACACTTTGATGCTGTTGACCTGGTGTTGACCTGGTGTTGACCTGGTGTTGACCTGGTGTTGACCTGGTGTTGACTGGTGTTGACTCGGTGTTGACTCGGTGTTGACTCGGTGTTGACCTGGTGTTGACTTGGTGTTGACCTGGTGCTGACTCGGTGCTGACCTGGTGTTGACCTGGTGTGTTTCAGGCTCTTCAGTTTCTGTCCAGAGCTCATCGGTGTGAGGTCCAGGGCTCCGACTGGCACCAGGACCCGGTGCTGTTCAGGGGCGTCCTGCAGAGGGCGCTGGCCATGGGCCGAGGTCTCAAAACATCTGCTCCTCCTCCTCCTCCTGAACATCTAAACATCTGCTCCTCTGCTCTTCTCACCATCCTCCTCCTTCTCCTCCTTCTCCTCTTCCTCCTCTTCCTCCTCTCACCCTCTAACCCCCTGAACATCTACTCCTCCTCTTCCTCTCACCTTCTCCTCTTCTCTTCTGCTCCTCTCACCATCTGCTTCTCTCACCTCCTGAACATCTGAACATTTGCTCCTTTGCTCTTCTGACCATCCTCCTCCTCCTCCTTCTTCTCCTCCTTCTTCGCTTTCTCCTCCTTTTCCTTCTCGTTCTTCTCCTTCTCCTCCTTCTTCTCCTCTTTCTTCATCTCCTTCTCCTCCTCTTCTTCCTCTCCATTAACCTCCTCTCTCTCTTCTCTTCTTCTCTGGTGTTCTTCAGTGAGCGTGTCGGTGAGTCGGTGTAAGTCGAGTCGGGCTGAAGCTCTTCAGGTTCTGTCTTCGTGTCGTCTCAGTCTGAACAGTCTGGTCTCCAAAGCAAAGGTACGACTTTTGTTTCTGTCGTGTTTAAGATCAACTTGAGACGAGTTCTCCCCAGGTTCCTCCTCAAACCTCCAGACCTGAGGGCAGCTTCAGAACATCTGCTGCTGGAGTCGAGTCACGCGGCTGGAAGAAAAACCACAAGACCAGAAATACACACGAAAAAAACAAAGAACGGAAAATAAAATTCACTTTTTCTTACAAACACAAACAGAAACAACTTTTTGGATGTACAAATGTTTAATTTCAGGCCTTAGCTACAAAAGTGTAAATATTAAGTCTGTAAATAAACTCAGAATCTCCTCATCGCCTCAAAACAAACACATGGACATTTGGACTCAAACCTCAAAATAAAAACAGCAAGAGACGCACAATTACACAATTAAATAAAGACGATTTTACGAGTTTTCCATGAAAACATCAATTCAGAATTTTTATTTCCACATAAACTCCAAGAAAAATATTTTAATTCCGTCTGTCAGGAGAAAACAAAGTAGAAGCAGGTTTTACTTTTAATAGTTTTGACCTGATTTCGTCGTCTTGGTTTAAGTCACTGAATGTTCAGGATCAAAAACCTGACTTTAAAAAATTAAAACTCGCCGAGAACTGGTGACGATGCTGATGGCGACGATGTTGGCGTAGACGATGTTGACGTAGACGATGTTGGCGTAGATGATGTTGACGTAGACGATGTTGGCATAGACGATGTTGGCGTAGACGATGTTGGCGTAGACGATGTTGGCATAGACAATATTGACGATGATGATCTTGACGTTGACAATGTTGACAATGCTGATGTTGACATTGACGGTGACAATGCTGACGACGATGATGTTGACGTAGACGATGTTGATGTGATGTTGACGATGTTGATGTTGACGTAGACGATGTTGATGTTGACGATGTTGATGTTGACGTAGACGATGTTGGCGTAGACGATGTTGACATAGACGACATTGATGCTGACGTTAACGTTGACGATGATGATCTTGACGTTGACGTGACAATGCTGACGTTGATGATGTTGACGGTGACTATGTTGATGTTGACGTAGACAATGTTGACGTTGACGATGTCGATGTCGATGTCGGCGTTGATGATGTTGATACGGACACGTTTTGCCGACCAAAACGACTTCTGCTCTGGACATGACGTCATCGTGTTTTCTCGTATTCAGAATAATTAATTCAGAATTAAAATCATCCTGTGTCCAGTGAGAAGAACCTGGACGTGTCTGAACCTCCAGCTGAAGCTTCTGGAGACTCAGACGTGGGACTAGAACCTTTAAAAACATAAATCTTTCACTCGGCTCCTTTAAATTAAACAAAAAAGAGTTTTTTTTTGTTTTTTTTTTCTGTTGCAGCAAAACCACACGGACGCGGCGTCAGGAGAAATCTGCCCCGAGCTCAAAGACGACGTCCACCAAGTCCAAGATCTCATCAAAGAAATCCAGGAAGTGAGCGCCGCCCTCAGGAGCCAATCACAGTGAAGCCACAACAGTTTCTCATCCACTGGTTCGATGTCGATGCTTCACAGTGACGTCACGCTGGGGGGTTCTACATGTGCGTCTATGATGAAAACACAAACCAAACCGTTCTGCCATTTAAAATCAGAACATCTGCATCGGCAAAACAAATATCGGATATCGGTATCGGCTCAAAAAGTCCCATTCACATCAGCCCGGGGAAATCGAACGTCCCTGCACCTCGGTCCCTCCCTCTCCTCCCATTGGTCAAACTCTGTCCCGCTTTGAGTGACAGGTGCGTTTAACCAATCACAGAGAAGAATGAGCTCAAACAGCAGAAGGCTTCAGGTCGTCTTCTAGTTCTTCTAGTTCTTCTAGTTCTTCTTTCTTCTCTTTCTCTCACCCTCTCCTCTTCCTCTTCTTCCTCTTCTTCTTTTTAAATCCTGAAGAACGGATCAAGAAACAAGAACGTGGAAGTTAAACGATCTGTGACTGAAGCAGCCGACGCTTCTGTGGGCTTTTATTTTGAAGGAGGTGGACTTGACTTCCTGTTTACGCCTCATGTTTGTCGAATCTAAATAATAATGTTTTTTTTTTGTATTATTATTTCTCTGTAATGACCTGGACTCAGAGTAAATCCTTTTAAATCCTGATCTGACTTTGTTGATGTTGTTTTGTTTTTGTGTGTTTTATTTTCTCGTCGTCTCAGGCTCCAGAAATGAACTTTTACTTTTATAAATTCCCTCATAAAACTTATTTCAGTAACTGTTTGTTTAGTTCAGGCATTTTTTTTTTTCATTCACGTGTTTGAGTAACTTTTTATTCTGAGTCTGTTACATCTGCAAACCTCCAAACGCTCTGCTCCACCCTGTGATGTCATCAGGTGGTAGTTTTCAGAAGTTCGATCGGCTCCTTTTCCCTTTAGTTCAGTCGAGATCGACTGAAATGATCCAGGTGATTCTAGTGAAGGTGTGGAGTTTAAAAACACAGTGGAGCACTTCCTGTATCACCACATGATGATGTCACGAGGTGGAGCAGAGTGTTTTCTCGTGTTAAATGTGCAGGTTTGTGTGTTAAACATGTGAATGAAACAAAACTCGACTCGAGGTGTTTGTGTGTATTTACATTTGTGTGTTTACGTGTGTGTGTGTGTTTATATTTACGCGTGCGTGCGTGTTTAAGTGTGTGTGTGTGTGTGCGCGTGCGAGCGTGTGTGCGCGCGGAGCAGCTGTGGCCCCTCCCCCGCTGCGTCACGTCTGGAGGCAGAAACTTTGGGACTGGCTCGCGCTCTTGGTCTGAGACTCTGAGACTCTGATCCGGGACTTGGAGGACACACGCAGCGCGCTGGACCTGGTCTGGTCCTGGTTTAGTCCCGCTTTAGTCCCGGTTTAGTCCCGCTTTAGTCCCGGTTTAGTCCTGGTTTAGTCCGGGTCCACTATGAGCGCGCGGTGATCCTGCTGCTGTCGGAATGGCTCGGGTTTTTTCGGGCCTCTTCGGGATTTTCTTTTTTCTCTTCTTGGGGCTGGAGTCGTGGACGCGCGGCGCGGGACACACGGGCGCGTTCACGAGGGTGTACGTGGTCCAGCCCGGGTCCGGACCTGGGTCTGGACCCGGGTCCGGACCCGGGACCGGACTCGGGGACGCGCTCAGGGTCAGCTCCATCGCCACGGCCACGCGACACACGCACGCGCACGGTGGAGCGCAGAGCCGCACGCGCAGGATGGGCGCGCAGCAGACGCACAAGCACGTGCTCAAAGTGTCCGGGTGAGGACTCACGCACGAGACCGGACCGGGACCGGACCGGGACCGAAACAGGACTAAACCAAGACTCAACTATCACTGGACCAGGACTGGACCAGGACTGAAACAGGACTGAACCATAAATGAACCAGGACTGAAACAGGACTAACCCTGTAGGACCACAGGACCAGGACTAAACCCGTTCTGGGCCCAATCTCAGGACCTCCAGACTGGGACTAAGACTCAACCAGGACTGAACCAGGTTTAGACCCTTTAGAGAACCTGAAGAGTCTGGATCCAGGACCAAAGTCTGAGACTAAACCGAGACGGGACCAGAACTAAAGTCATGTTCACGTTGGACTAAAATAAAAGTGTGAGTGGAGCAGAGTCTTTATCTTCTCACACAAACATCTGAGGTCCTCCAGAGTCCAGGGTCTGGTCCAGGGTCTGGTCCAGGGTCTGGTCCAGGGTCTGGTCAGGGTCAGGTCTGGTCCAGGGTCTGGTCCAGGGTCTGGTCCAGGGTCTGGTCCAGGGTCTGGTCCAGGTCTGGTCCAGGGTCTGGTCAGGTTCCTGGTCACTCAGAGCTGGAGTTTATTCTGAGTCTGTTACATCTCCAAAGGTCCAAACGCTCTGCTCCACCTTGTGATGTCATCAGGTGAACAGCTCTTTAGAGAAGAGCAGAGACACGTGTGGCTGAAACTGAACCAACTGCAGATGTTTGAGTTAAAGCTCCACCGTGGGACATTTCCTCACATTAAATAAACACGTTTAATCTGAAAATCACATTTAAATCTTCAGTTTGTTGTTTCCTTCAACGATCAGAGAATCAGAAAACATCTGGAGAAAAGAATCAAGACACAGACCTGGTTCAGATTCTGTTTAGTCCTGCTCCAGTCCTGGTTTAGTCCTGGTTCAGTCCTGGTTCAGTCCTGGTTTAGTCCTGGTTTAGTCCTGGTCTGGTCTGAGTCTCTGGTCTGGTCCTGGTCTCTGGTCTCTGGTCCTGGTCTCTGGTCCTGGTCCTGGTCTCTGGTCCTGGTCCTGGTCCTGGTCCTGGTCTCTGGTCCTGGTCCTGGTCCTGGTCTGGTCTGGTCTGGTCCTGGTCCTGGTCTCTGGTCCTGGTCCTGGTCCTGGTCTCTGGTCCTGGTCCTGGTCCTGGTCTGGTCTCTGGTCCTGGTCCTGGTCCTGGTCTATAACCGGTCTGTGTCTCAGGGTGAACGTGTGTGGAGGTCAGTGCTGTCACGGCTGGAGCGCGGCTCAAGGTTCTCACCGCTGCACCAAACGTAAGTAACTCTCGACGTACATGTGTGTCTATGGCCAAACGTTCAGCGGTTTCCATGGAGACGCCTCAGTGAAGATGAAGCTGTGGTTCCTGGTTCCTCGTCTCTGGGGCTGAGTTCTGTTTGGACTCGAGACGCTGTAGATCAGAAATGTTCTCCTCTGATCCTCTCAGCAGCTTCTGGAAGTTTCTTCTAGTGTTGTAGATCCAGACCGGTCTTGGTCTTGAGACCGGTCTTGGTCTTGGTCTCGTCTTGGACTCAGCTGTGCTTGGACACTTCGTGTCGTTCAGTGAAATTCCCACAGAAGCAGAAGTTCACCACAAACTTCTCACTTTTAAAGAGAAGTTCTGCTCAGTCCAGGTTCTCTCATGTTCTAATGTTCCTCATCAGAACATGAAAAGCTCTGAGATCTTCTGTGCATGTTTGAGGAACAGAGACAGGACGATATATCGGCCGATATTTGGTCTTTTTATAGAACATATATTATCTAGTGTTGTTCTTAAATCTGCAGCTCAGATCGACGTTTGACTTTGACCTTCTGCTGCTGAAAACTCAAACTTTATTAAAACACTTGAACAAAGATCTGAGCTCAGGAGGAAACTGACTCTGGTTTGAGTTAAAAGTTTGTGGAGAATAAAAAGTCAAAATTAGACCAAAAATATCGGCAGAGTTTTTGACCTTTATCGATTTGTCTGAATTCTAAAGAATCGGCTTCGATATCGGCCTTGAAAAAAACACATTGGTTGATGTGTATTGAGTAATCTAGTGATCTCTCCTGGGCCTGAAACAAACCCTCCTTATGGTCAGGAGTACGAGTCTGTACGAGGCTCCGCCCCCCCAGGCTCCCACAGTACGAGGCTCCGCCCCCATATTCCAACACGACACAAACTGAACACTTGGACAAACCTGATGTTTGTGCAGGAGGTTCATCAGTGCGACGCTCTGAAGGGGGAGCGACTCAGCACAGAGAGCGACAGAAACTAAAGTGAAAGTCAAAAAAGTTTGAGTTAAATTTGTTGTTTTTGTTGAGTAAAAGTCACAAGGATCTGAGTCTGTCCACAGTGACGTGTGCAAACTTCTCCTCCACAAAGATCTGATTCTATCTCTCCATCCTCTCTCTCTCTCTCTCTCTCTCTCTCTCTCTCTCTCTTCTCTCTCTCTCTCTCTCTCTCTCTCTCTCTCTCTCTCTCTCTCTCTCCCTCTCTCTCTCTCTCTCTCTCTCTCTCTCTCTCTCTCTCTCTCTCTCTCTCTCTCTCTCTCTCTCTCTCTCTCTCTCTCTCTCTCTCTCTCTCTCTCTCTCTCTCTCTCTCTCTCTCTCCTCTCTCTCTCTCTCTCTCTCTCTCTCTCTCTCTCTCTCTCTCTCTCTCTCTCTCTCTCTCTCTCTCTCTCTCTCTCTCTCTCTCTCTCTCTCTCTCTCTCTCTCTCTCTCTCTCTCTCTCTCTCTCTCTCTCTCTCTCTCTCTGTCTCTCTCTCTCCATCCTCTCTGTCTCTCTCTCTCTCTCTCTCTCTCTCATCCTCTCTCTCTCTCTCTCTCTCTCTCTCTCTCTCTCTCTGTCTCTCTCTCTCTCTCTCTCTCTCTCTCTCTCTCTCTCCTCTCTCTCTCTCTCTCTGTCTCTCTCTCTCTCTCTCTCTCTCTCTCTCTCTCTCTCTCTCTCTCTCTCTCTCTCTCTCTCTCCTCTCTCTCTCTCTCTCTCTCTCTCTCTCTCTCTCTCTCTGTCTCTCTCTCTCTCTCTCTCTCTCTCTCTCTCTCTCTCTCTCAAGGGGGGGGGGGGTAGAGTAAAAGAGAGACAAAAAAGAAAGAAAAGCAAATGAAATGTAAGGTATGAGAGAGAGAGAGAGAGAGAGCGACAGAGAGAGAGAGAGAGAGAGAAGGGGGAGAGAGGGATGAAAAGAGAGAAGGACACAGAAAGAGGCTAAATGGGGGAGGAAAAGAGAGAGAGGGAGGAAAAGAGGCCGAGAGGAAATAGGAAGAAGAGAGATAAGAGGGGAGAGAGAACGTCTTTAATGTGGTTTTCAGGATGGAGGGATGAAAGGAGAGAAAGAAAAAGAGGAAAGAGAGAGAGAGACAGAGAGAGAGAGAGAGGGCCCTTTAGACCTGGTTTAGTCCTGGTTTAGTCCTGGTTTAGACCTGGTTTAGACCTGGTTTAGACCTGGTTTCCTGGTTAGTCCTGGTTTAGACCTGGTTTAGTCCTGGTTTAGTCCTGGTTTAGACCTGGTTTAGTCCTGGTTTAGACCTGGTTTAGTCCTGGTTTAGTCCTGGTTTAGTTCTGGTTTAGACCTGGTTTAGTCCTGGTTTAGACCTGGTTTAGTCCTGGTTTAGTCCTGGTTTAGACCTGGTTTAGTCCTGGTTTAGTCCTGGTTTAGACCTGGTTTAGTCCTGGTTTAGACCTGTTTAGTTTAGTCCTGGTTAGTAGAGTCCTGGTTTAGACCTCCTGGTTTAGTCCTGGTTTAGTCTGGTTTAGACTGTTTTAGTCTGGTTTAGTCCTGGTTTACCTGGTTTAGTCCTGTTTAGACCTTTAGTCCTGGTTTAGTCCTGGTTTAGTCTGGTTTAGTCCTGGTTTGGTTTAGTCCTGTTTAGTCTGGTTTACTGGTTTAGTTGGTTTAGTCCTGGTTTAGTCCTGGTTTAGTCCTGGTTTTGTTCCTGTTTAGTCCAGTCTGAGTCACTGGAGCTGATGTGAACGTAAAAGTCGCGAAAACAAAGCACCGCATGGACTAAACCAGGACTAAACCAGGACTAAACCAGGACTAAACCAGGACTAAACCAGGACTAAACCAGGACTAAACCAGGACTAAACCAGGACCAGGTCCGTCCTCCTGCTGCACTAGATCAGAGGTGAGGTTTGAGTGTCGGACATAAAAACAGAACAGATTGAGTTTGTCGCTGGATGAAACTTGACTTTGGTCAGATGTTTCTCCTCAGAGCTGCTGCTTCAGGTCTGGTTCTGGTTCTGGTTCTGGTTCTGGTTCAGTTCCAGACCCAAGTTCTAGACCCTCTGCTGGACAAACCTTCACCTGCAGGTGGAGCTCAGAGGTCACATGACACAAACACAGACTGGATCATGACCGAGAGCGAGAGAGAGAGAGAGAGAGAGAGAGCCTCCTGCACTGATGGACACGGACATGGACACACACACACACACACACACACACACACACACACACACACACACACAGACACACACACACAGACACACACACACA